AGAAGACCCCCGACCGACCGACCGCCCCCCGACCCCCGACAGACGCGACGCAACCAACCGGCGGACGCCGGCGGGAGGGATGCCCGCCGCCGTCAGACAGCCGACCGCCTGACCTACCGATGCGCGACTAGCTTACAGCGGACCCAGCGACCCCCGACCCGACACAGCACACCCGAGCGAAACAAAAAGACGCCTAACCGAGAGACGGCCCTCAAACTGACGCCACCCTGCGCAACTGACCGAAAGACAAAAACCGGGTACAAGCTTCAAACTCTTCCTTTTGGTGTTCATTCAACGTTAAGACGAGAGCGTCGTGGAACCGAGTTCTCTCGCCTGCCGTGCCCGATTGTGTCCAAATCCAGTGAAAGCACGCGTGCGTTTGACTCCTGAACTTTTTGCTCGGTCTGACGTCAGCACCTTTGTCGTCGTCGGTCCCTGCGGCGCGGCGCGGCTCCCGGGTTTGACGCTGCGCTGCGCTCAGGTAACATCGTCCGTCTCCCGGCTTTTATTTAACACATGCAACAAAATAACAAAAGGCACCAGTAAAGGACTTTGCCGTGTGGAGTGAACTCTTTTGTCATTTCCAATTTGTCAGCTCACTTTTCAGGAAAAAAAATAATTTCAAAGGCTCAGCGTTTCCTTTTTTTTTTTTTTCGTTTTGTTGAAATTGACCTCTTTTGCATCGTCTCTTTCAAACAGAGGGACGGGGTTTCATTTTGAAATGATCATCAAAACGGAAATTTAGGAGGGATGGGCGCACCCGAAAAGGCAATTAGCAATATTAAGTAAAAGAGTTTTTACGTCGCCTGAAATTCGATTGTTTCACGTGTCTGTGTTGCTCGGGGTGAAGCCGACGCTGCGGTCTGAATTGAACCACTTCCGATTTGCGAGCGCACAGAAGCTGAGCAAGTCGGGCAAAGCGCTCCCGCCACAGACACAAAAAGTGTTTGTGTGAAAAACGAGTTGATTGATTGATTGATTTCGTCACTGATTTGACGCGGGAGGAGGCAAATTCGGCAGCACGCGCACTTGAAACGGAACGAAAGACGAGACAAGGCAAGAATGGTCCTACCTGAGGTCCGCGAGCGCCAAATGGCTTGCCAGCGAGTGGCACGTCCAAAGGCTCCTTTTGACACCAAAGCACCCTTAGTTTGCTCCATCGACGGTTCCCTTGCGCTAAGGTGAATTTAGTTTTGCCAGAAAAACAATACTATCAAACACACAAAACCGCCCTGCGTTCACGTTTCATCGTTCAGGGACCGCTTCTGAACGTGACAACAAGAGGAGGGAATACACTGGTGGTAAATCACCAACCGAAACATCGCAACTCAGAATCACCGATCCTCCTTATGTTCATTGGGAACTTTAATGGGGAGGGGGTCTCGTCTTTCCCTCCTCCCGTTTAACGTCGAATAAACCAGAACGTGTTGATGCTTTTTGTTTTTTTTTTTTTTTTAATTCATCCTCCACATTCATGGCTTCGGAGTGGCGGCCGTGGGGCGGGTCTTGAGCCGCAGCAGCTCAGGCATCGGTCGCTGACTCTCCTGGTAGAAGTCCAGTCCCGTGATCCACTCCACATCTCGTACTCGGGCTTGATGGAACCAAATGTGATCCTCCACCCAAGAGGCTTCGTCTTCGGCGCTCTGTTGAAGCAAATTCATTTGAACTTTCGCAACGGCAGACAAACGGAACGAGCCGGGAGAGTGACAACCCGATGACTGTTGCGTACCGAGGTAGCGAGGGTTTGACCAACTTTTTGGTCTCGTTTGGCATAGAGCAGCCTGATCGCCTCAAGCGTGAAAAGGGGCTCGCCAAGATCTATCGCTAATAACGATGACTTGTACAGCCTAGCAGCCTGAGAATAACATCGACGCGCGAGCATACAAGAGCGTCAGATCTGGCGTGCGCGTTGGGAAGTGAGGCGCTACCTTGCAGCTCTCGGAGTTGTCCGGCCGGTGAGGCAAGAGAAAGGCCACGGCGCGCAGCGGTCCGTCACATTCTCGGAGCGGTCGGCTGGCGTTCCGGCAGCTGGTCAGCACGACAAAGTAATGCGTGGGCACCGACACGTTGCTCGGCGTCGCCCACCTGGAAGACACCGCGTGGCGTGAGCGTACAGGCCGACGGTTGGCCTTCGCCGCTGCCACGAGCGCAAGGGAGCCCAGGGGACCAAGAGTGGACCGGGACGCCCTGCGCCATTGGCGTTTCGACCGGAACGCCACCATTTCACAAATATTCTTCATGCTATGTCAACAATTTGAATGACAATTTTGAACCATATCGCCGCACTTTTTGTTCTTTTAACATTTCAAAATGGTGCAGCCCTCAAGTCCGTTTTAAAAGGGAAACGCGGTCCCCGTTTGGGCCCCCCGCCCTGGGCTGCTCTTACCTCCCGATGAGCTCGGGCCGGTCATGGCGTCCGTCGTGGTCGTAGTCGAAGGCGGGGCCCGTCAGCACGTTGATGCCGTTGTAAACGGCCGCGTATTTTTTGAGCAGGGTGCCGTGGAAGTAGGCCCAGATCCCTGAAGACACGACGCAAGTCCAACATGACAAGTGAAATATTCTCGTTCGCCCAAAACGAACTACTACAACAGCATACAGAGAAATTTGCAGCAGGAGCAAAATGTAGGGCCGGGACAGAACAACGGTCATCCTCGGTCTAATGGCCGACGTCACGTTCCGGAGCGCCCGGCAGCAGACGGGCCGTGATGCTGTCGTTTCCAAAAAATATTTTCCATTTTGGCGCAGACGCTTCAACGGGGCGTTCTTTTTGTTCGCCGCATTGCGAAAGGCGGATCAGCTCCGATGAACGGGCACCGCGGCGGACGCTGACGCCGTCGGTCGAAGCTAGCGGCCGGCGCGCTAGCAACGCCGAGGGCTCGGCACGCGACAAGCGGCCGGTACGTACTGTGGAACTGAAGGTACATGGGCACCAAGTGGCTGCTGAGCAAGGCGTCGCGTCGCTCCGCCTCCTCCGGGATCAGACCTGCAATATCGCAGGAAGGTCATCCAAGGCCGCTCAAGGTCACGGCGTAGCAGGTGGCCGACGCGTACCGGGCGGGTACAGGAAGGCCGGGCGGAAGTCGCCGTACTCGTCGCAACGGCGACTGTCGGCCGGAGGAATTCGGACGTCGGCCCGCAGGCAGTTGGTGGCGACGGGCGGCAGCGGCTCCGAGTTGCTCTACCAAAAGAAGGGTGGGGAAAACCCGTCGGCACGTGTGGCAAGTAACCAAGTACGAGGGGTGCTTCGCCTTTGGGCTCAGCTCCCCTCTTCTCCGCCGCAGAACCACGCGGATGGAGTCTTCGAGGCAGCAGACACTGGCCCGGACCCTCGCCCGGGATCTGGCACTCCATTCATGAGGAAGACCCCGTTTTAACCTTATAACGTGAAATCGATCACGTCGGAACATGAACTTAATCGTGCGATCATGTGACGGTGAACTTTTTTCACTTGTGTGCGGCGGCAGCAATACGCTTGGGTTCATTTCCGACTTCTTTCCTGTGACCGAAGGAGATGAAGCGGTACTGAAAGTCCAGACTTGAGAGTACTTTTGCTAGCTGCGGCGGCGACAACTAAGCGAGCGAGTCGTTCTGCCGGCGGGCGTACCGGCACGTCCACGCTGAAGGAGCTCCACAGCGCCATCTTCAGGTCAGCGCTGTAGGCGCTGACGAACGCCTCCTGGTGGAGGATGCAGTAACGCTCCCCGTGCCGCAGCGAGCGGGGCCGGCCGAACATCAGGTGTTTGCGCCGCGCCGCGTCCTCTACGGCAATCAGAACGGGCGGAAGGTTCATTTGCGCAAAGGCGGCGGCCGGACGCCGCGGCCCGACACGCGCGAGGCGGGCTCACCTTGAGCGGACGTCATGTTGAGGCGACGGTTGGCGGCCGTGACGTCGTCTGCGTTCTGAGGAGGAACACCGGCGGACAGCAGAAAGCATGACAACAGTTCCCAGTAACGCCGGAGACGCTTACGGTCACCACAATGACGACGCCGACGGTGTTCCGAGCAGTCCCAATAACGGTAATAGAAAGGGTAACGGTCAGCGCTTCAGACACAACATCAGGGTGGTATCGGTGAGCCGCATGCCACGGAACAGTAACATGCACAATCCCAGGCGCAGGATCCGGAACAGGCCCGGTCAGACAAACTGTAACCGGGTCAGGAAGTGTGACAGAAACAATGACGGCGCCAAGGCGGTAAGCGTAACGGACGGACGCAGGCACGCACCATGTGGGCACAGGAGCAGGCCAGCGGGTCTTGCGGCTGCAACGTGTCGAGGCGGCACTCGCCGGGCGCGTTCCGCTCCGGCGGGGCCAGCGGGGTGTAGAAGGGCCGTCGCAGCAGGTGGTTCAGGCTGCCGTGCGTCCCATTGTTGGCGGCCGGCGAGATCTGCAGCACGTCTGCGGTCCAAAAGTCACAAGGGCTCGTAAGGGCGGCGCTGTTGCAAAGGAGGCGGCGCGCCGGCAGCGAGGACTGACCGCACATGAGGTTGTAGAGCTCGATGTTGGAGAAGGGCTCCGCTTCCGTGCCGGAGGCAAACTTTGGTCCGTGGGCGACAAACATGGCCTGGTGGGAAGGAACAAAGCGGCCACGTCGGCGCGTGACGTTAGCCGGCCACGCTGGAGCGCGACGGTTGGGACTCACGTGCATGCTGGCCACATCGTTGTCGTAGCCGTGCTGGCCGCCGGAGCAGAAGCGCAGCGACCCCGGAAGCCTGAAAGCAGAGTGGGGCGCTGATGAGGGGCTGCGCGGCGGCGACGGCGGCGGCGGCGGCGACAGTCGGAGGCGTGAGGCGACCACCTCTCCAGCAGCCATTTGGGCTCCACCAGCACGTTGACGTCTTCGATGCGACGGCTGTTGGCGAAGTGAAGCCGTTTGGGAAGGTGCCACTTGAGGTACGGCCGCAGCTTCTGCGTCGCACTTTTGCACTGGCAAAACGGCAGCGGACGCAACGTCGCATCTCCTTCGTGCTCAACACGACGTGCCGCGTGCTATGTGCAATACATGCTTACCGTCATGTTGGCGACAAGGCCGGCAGCATCCACTGAAACACACAACACACACACACGACTGATCCTGGTTCCTCTGCTGTTACTAGTTGGGGGAACTGGAACTGGTTCTGTTCCTGTTCAGTTCATATCAGAGCTGGAGTTACTGCTTATTTTCCTCTTCCCTTAACTAATTGGGGTACAAATGCAAATTTGCGGTACTAGTGTGACAGGAATGTTGGAACGGCGAAGCGTGGGATGTACAATGAACATGGGTGGGGGCGGGGCACTGCGTCGTGTGAAAGCGCACTCTCTGGAGAGTTGGGATCCGCCGCTTAAAAGGGTAAACGAAGAGCAACGCGGATTTTCTCGACGAGAGGCCCAGCGCTAGCATTTCAAAATTCCGTTCCTGGCCCCGTTACTAGGGAGGCTAACTATTGTGATCCTGTTCCTGGTCCCGGATAGGTTGTGTGTGACTGCTCCTGCCGTGGTGCCCTGGATCGTCCCTCTCATGGGAAAAAAAAGGCGAAGGCCGAACAAACGGGCCAGAGGACGAGTTCTCTGAAACCAAGGAGAGCCGCAAGAGAGTGAAAAGCTGCATGCGAGGAGACGGTTGCCATCCAAGCGGCCTGGCGTCTGCAAATAAGCGCCTGACCTTTTCTCAAGCGCAAACACCAATAAACGTCGTCGTCTTTTCCCGTTGACGCGACTGGTGCCCGGGAAAGGCACGTTTTGGAATGCTGCCTTCTCAGAGAGAGAGAGAGAGAGAGACGCGAGCAGGGAGGGGGCAGAAGCAAGGACAACCCCCCCCCCACCCCCGCCGCCCT